TGATGCTTGTAAAGTTATGATACAGAATTGAAAAAAGTGAATATTCTTGATTGACCTGAAAATTCTCTGGACCTCAAATTTGTGGGAACATTTGTTACTTGTTAGCCCACTTGCATGAGAAATCCTGTAAGTATTTTGATCAATTCGGTTAACAATAAATTTCTTTCTCGACCAGCCAGGAAATATTCACTCCTTTATTTATCTGCACGTTTATACAATAACAGGGTGCTGATATTACTACGAATTTGGGAATGTATTATTCGAAGTTTTAATAACCTCGTAAAAACAGCGTCCTCTAAAAAATCCATGGTACTTTATTTAAAAGTTTGGCCTGTGCACGATACGATTCGTGGATATTATTTCTGGCATCGCACGTTTATAGACTGGAAGGAAATAAATTTGTGAAATTGCTCGTCTGACGATCGTTTCGTCCGGAAACTTCAACGTTTAATTATTGAAGATAATACGTTGGGCTCGTATTGTCTAGCGCGTTTTAACGAAGGGAAGTCTAATTTGATAACCTTCCACTTTCTTGGCTTCCACATTTCCATCTAATTACGAATCTTTTAAGGTTTGACTGACATTGAATTTGATAACCCAGATTTACTTTTCGATGCATCTGCTTTGGATAGTTCTTACGAAAGTTCAATGCCTCAGAACTTCGCCATGTATTTCTCTTTATTAAGCTTTCATGAACCATTGAAGCAAGTCTAACGTTGCTAATATGCTCGAACAGCAGGTGGATGGATTGACACGTGCGCATTTTTTATTCATAACTTGGCAATGCAGAAGTAGTCGGTGATTTTATGATACAAAGTTAATGAAGGTTCAAACCACTCCGTTGAATAATTCAAATTTAAATTCAAATTCATATTCGAGCTGTTGATCATCGATGAAATTAGATTTATTTGAATATCATTATGTTTCTTCGATGTGGGTCAGTTTGACCCTTGCAGTACTGGTGTAACAGTTATTCGAACAGTTAACAGCAAGTCAAACGTAACTTGAAGGTACTTGATCGATCGCGTACATACCCGTGAATTTGTGCCACCAAGTTTCAAGGAAATCACTCGTGAAAAAATTCTTTGTTGCTTAACCCCGATGTTCACGTACCTACGTACATACATATACACATCCTGACACGATACGCAGGGTGTGCAGTTAAAACACGGTGCAGCAAACCCGGAGCTTATGACGCGCAGCACGTTTTAGGCATGCAACCTTGTACCGGCTGCACTCTTATATACAAAATTGTACATATACGCGAAACGGGCGCAGCTGGTTTAGCAGAGAGTGCACGGATAATATCGTTTGTGCTACTTTGCACTGAAATTCACGACATTTGTCATATCTAACAGATAGAGCAGTAGAGAGCAAAACTGAACCAATGAAACCATTGTTCCGGAAAAGTATTCCAAATACAAACGAACAGCTGTAGAAGCACATGCATTAACTCTCTGAACATAATTCTGGCAACTAATGAATAAGAACACTAATTATCGGCTAATAAATTTAATCTAGGAACTCTATACTAAACTAGAAAATGAATTACCATAATATGGTTATCATCCCCTCAAATAGTAGCAGGAAATTAATTAACAGATCAAATTGGAAAAGAAATTACGCAACATAGAATAAATGAAAGTAAAAAAGAAAAATTTAAAAGTTGAATGGCACTTATTCGTTTTTCATATTTTGATAGCTAACACGTTTCGATTGTAATTCATTTCGATTGATTTTGAATTTAATTGAACAAATGTCAACGTGACATGTATTTCCTGTGTATCCAGAACAATTAATATTTTTTATTTCCCTCTCGCGTTCGTCCTTCGTTAAGCTCAATTTGTAATTCCGTTTGGCTCTTGACGTTAATTTTAACTGAACTTCTCTATGCGAGATTTTTGCACGGCTATAGAACGCACGTTGTTATTCGAAACAGAGAAGAATAGAATTCACCAGAGCATGAGTAATGGCGTTATATACGTAAGAAGTTTGGAACTTTAATGAGCCGTGGGGATCTGTGCTTGAAGGTTCGTTTCAAAACAGAAGATTAGCTTCGCTGATTCTCTTCCCGAAGAAGATGAATGTTTTTTTTTTCTCTCTTTTGTTGAAAGGTACCGGATCCACGTGAGATTGATTCTCATTGTACGTAAAGGATCTTATATAAGGTTGAAGTAAATTAAGGAAGAAAAATTCTTTCATTTTATCTCTTTCGTTAAGAGGATCATAGGATGCGTTAAATATCCTAAGAGGATAGAAAAATATTTTTTAAAAATGCGGCAAAAATTTTTCACTTAAGTGAAATAATTAGATAATTATTAAAACTAATTCTGATAAATATTAATATTTAAATTTGCTGACATATTTTAAAAATATTTTTGGAAGTGACAGGTGATTCGATGACGTTAACAAAACAATTAGGGAAGCTCGAGTAGAGAAAATCTGGCGTAGAGGGTGTCTCGGACTGGAGGGGAGTATTTCTTTTTTTTTTTTTTCGTCGATATTTCGCAATTCCCAGCGACACGAGACGCAGCCTTGCATTTCTCTTCTTTTGTGAATTGCTCGTGCACGTGAAAACCAGCTGTGCGAGACGTCATTCGGCGTTCTCTCAGGATGAGTCGGATTTTCTTCTTTTTAAAATCATTTAGGTCGTGGCTCGACAGCGATGTACTCATGCTGACGAGATATCGAGTTCAAACGACCCTTCAGCTCAAACGTTGGCTGATCCACCTGACGCGTGTGTACACGAGCCAGACAGGCGAAACAAAAAAAGTGGTTTTCAAATCGTGGGAATCATTTTTACGCTACGCCAGATTGAATTCGAAATTTGAATGAACGAAAAAGTACGCCTAAATTACATCCATGCTGTCGTATTCAACACATTTCCAATCGATTGGTTAAAATTATGTTTCGGGAGTTTGATGGAAAAAGTAGGAAAATTCACCTTTCAGTTAAGTAATACATTTCCAATCGACTGGTTAAAATTACGTTTTGGGAGTTTGGTGCAAAAAGTATAGGTAAATCCACATTTTAGCAAAGTGATTCTATGTGGTATAATTTGTTACAGATGTGAAATTGCTTGTAAAACTCATTATTTGTAGAGTATGAATTCAACTGATCGATCTGTAACTGCCAAGTCTATAAACTCGGGAAGAGTTTTACAGTTGCTTCAGCAAAGCATTGGAAAATTAAATATACGATAACTTTTCCTCGGTTGCAATTGTTTGGATTACGTAGAAAGGGGATAATTTTAAATCGCAATTTTAGTATAACTGTTCCGCGTAGCGTGCTACTAATTCCACTAATACCAGCGTACGATGCTTTTAATTATTGGAACAATGTATTTTTGTAGTTTGTACTCTTACTCGGGTTAATTACGCTTGAACTAGTGAATAAATGGTGTAGAAGGATATTAAAACTGATATCAAATGAATTTAATAAATTTCCTGCTTTAAGCGAATTTAGAAGAATTTCAGTGAGAGTGTAAATTGATCGAATTTCTTTGTTTAAATATTCGGAAAATTTTCTTCTAAAAATATAGCATTCTAATTAAAGAGGAGAATGCATAATATGCTGTTACAACGTGGTAGCTTTAAGTGGAGAAATTTTTTATGTACGTTCCTTTTTTTTTCTTGAAATATCGATTCTATTCGCTCTCACTGGGCCATAAACTCCACAAGACGTGTGCTTACATTTCGGCTCTCGGTTACCAAGTTCATTGATCGAGATAGAAGAGATTTTGAACGGTGCCAAGATGGAAATGAAACTACGAGATGGAAGGAATCTGGAAAAGGATTGATTAGAGACGCGGTCTGGCGAAGGTAAAACGGATCAAAACCTGACCGTCCTTCCAAGTAAAATTATCTGACATTTTTCAGCGATTAATTCGATCTGAAGGTAAATAAGTTACGACTGGATTTTAATTTTAGAGAAATATTCATCTATCCCACGATGTCGTTCTATCGTGATTAAATTTTTTAATTATCAACCTTGCAAGCACGTCGATCGTGTTACGAAACGTTAATCTTTTACGGATATTTTTTAAGAAAGTCCATAAATAAAAGTAAGACGTAAAAGACACAAGAACGATTTGCTCGAAAGCGTGACACCACCTCAAAGCACCGAATGAATACATACATTAACCTTATTAATGTTTACCTTGAACTTCGTTCTCAGAAATTACATCCACTATGACATTTATGCTCTCGGGGAAACAGTTACATCGGATCGTTGCACGATACGGTGTAATTTGCTTAAAACACTCGGAACTTTGCTGTTCGAAGTAAAATTGTAAAACATTTCTTCCATGAAAAATCTCTGCTTCCATATTCCGCTCGACCTCGGGATGCATGTTAAACATTTCGTGAAAACTTTACGGAGTAGATTTTTCAAATTTTATTAAGTTACCCGTAGTCAGTCTCCTGGAAGATTTACACAGCGAATCTTTCACGAAGAAGAGGTAGAAAAAAAAAACAATCGTAATCACGTCACGGAAGTCGAAGTCGGAATAGTCACGTTTGAATGGCGATGGTTGAAAGGAGATAAAAAAAAGAAGGAAAGAAAACATCCTAGAAAGCCTCATTTGGGCGCTCTTACCGATCGAAAAGAAGAATATTCACCACGAGGTCAGGTTGCACCTCCTTTCTTCCATCCAGTGTCGTTAAAATGTATGCGCATTTACGTATGTTCGCGTGTCGTCGCGTTCGTAATCAGCCCATTTCACGGTTAATCAGCCGAGAGGTCGGAAGACGGAGAAGGCCAGGAAAAAAAGGGGCGAAATAGGGTGAAAGAGAGAAAAAGAGAGAAAGAGATAGAGAGAGGGAAGGGTTGTAGCCACGGCGAAAGAGAGGGTTGTACGATGTAGAAAGAGGACATCGATACGAAAAAAAAAGAGGAAACTAGGAGGACCAGCGCGAAGGTGAAAGAGAGAGAGAGAAATAAGAGTTTGTGCTAGATATGCAACCGCAGCCGAATATCCTAGCGAAGTATGTATACCCCACCTGATCAATTAAGCTGCTAATCACCGTCGAAATCACTGGTCAGGGTGCCGGTACTCATTCACCCCTTTCACGACGATTATCTCGTGTACAGTTCGATCGGTCCAGCGTTATTCTTCCTTAACAGTGGTGGTAACATATTTCGTCTCACACGCTTCTTGCTGGGGTTACGCGACGGAATGATAAACAAGTCGGAGGCTGTCTCGAGGGAAGATTCACCGCGAAAAAGGGGTTAGATTGACGGGTCGCAACGAGTCTTCGACCCTCGGCGAGTCTCGCTCCTCGCACGACTGACTGAAGCCTAGAATCGAGGCTTGCAACTACCCTCCCCCTGAAGCCGAGGGGCGGCCGTACGCAAGTGGCGCCACGAGCTTGCAAAAGCTCACCCACCCCTCCGACCACCCTCGCTCCGACCATCGAACGCTGCTCTTATCTACGGGGTGGCGCGCGCGGTTAAGTTCTCGCATTCTCCGGATCCTCGTGCTGGCACGGTTTAGATTCGCCAGGTTTAATTTCAACCTCGCGGTCGCTGTTTGCTCTCACGAATTCTTCGTTTCAACCGAGAAGAAATACTTCATCTTTTTTTTTTCTCTTCTTTTTTTGGATGCCTTTTCTTGGCCTCGTAAATGGCTTCGTTAATTAATTTTCAACGGAGTTGATTTTAGTCGACGAATGATTTAATTTTGGAATCTTAGAGGAGAAACGGAACGGGGTGTTTTTATTAGCTTTTCCTTTGATGTCGCGACTGTTTTCGTTACTCTTTAATGTTGACGAATCAATGGTGATTGAAGAGTTAATCGAGCGCTGATTCATGCGCTCGTTAAAGTTTGTTTAAATTAGGAACGGACAGCTGGGTAATTTCTACTAGCGTGATGTATTGTAAATACAAACAGGGGTGCGATGACAAATGCTGCTTTAAGTCACTGCCACTTTGATACTTCTGCAGATGTTTAAAGGAGCCGTTTATTATGAAAATGGGGCTTCTTTATTTTTATTTGAATGGTAAAATTGATCGCAAACTAAAATTTTCAATAATTTTAATACCTCCCTTGGGATTTTTAACATTTTAATTTTTAATGAGGAATATCACGTTAATGTTCTGATTTATTTGAGTTTCAATGTATGTATCATATTCTGAGAAATTGCCCTGATATCTATTCTTGGTTCAAATTGTTGGAATCTAAGCTGATGCGAGATGAAGGTGTCGCATAATGGGTCACTCGTCATCGATAGGATGTCAAGTTGATTGGAGAGCCTTCTCTATGAACGTTGTTTAGTAAATGTTCGATAGGAGTATTAGTTCATGACCATTTGAGGATTGCATTGCGACTAATGGTTCTAAGTGTTTCCGTTCGTGAAGCGATATAATGTATCATGTTTCTATAATAATACATATAATATAATTGCCTAATCAATGACAATTGTTCGCTGTTCCACACGAATTATAAAACAATGAAAGTGACAATATAATTCAATTCAAATAAGTTTCGATAATTAATTAATCATAAAAATTAGTAGTTATAAATAATTCGTATCTTTTAAAAATATAGTTTATTGTAGTACATTTTGTTTAATATTTTTAATGGAGCTATAGAGATTGACAGTGCAAAGTAAGTGAGTCATTCATTTCATCTGTAACGATCTAATACTTTACAATGAACGATCCTTCTCGAGTTGCCGCGATTATTCTGTACTTCATTATTCAACTTACGTGAAACAAACCTCAGCTGGTAATCAAATTATGCAAATTTCGTGCACAGTTCTCCTTTTCCCTTTTTCCCTCCTTCGACGTGCTTTTTTTCTCTCTCGATTCTTTCTTCCAGGAGCAACCACCTGTAACCCCCCCGGAGACAGACTTCGTTTCAAACTGTACACCCTCTCCTTCTATCGTTTTGCTCAGTCACCCCTTTAGACGCAACCTTGCCGACCCTTATCGATTTCGATCGCTAATCGCACCAACGATTCAAAGGACTACGCAATGAACAGTCCTGTATTGTGCATTTTTGTAAATCTTAAAATTTCATTATTAAACATTTGCAACTTGAAAGATTGCATTTGTTTTCAAAAGTAAATTCATCAAAAACTAAGAGCTGACAAAAGACGATTTTCACAGAAAAATTCTATAAGAGATTTCTATCGAATTTGTAAATTGAAATGACTGATCGAACAGCGTGATCTTTGATCTTCGTTACGCAGATAAAAGATACGTCTGAACGAAAGTTCGAAACAAAGACTACGGTATTTCCCGTTCGAAACTCAGGGATCGTGCTCACTTCCAGTATACAGTTAAATCGAGAGAAAAATCGGATAAAGGTAGCAATGAAAAGTGCTTTATTCAGCACGCATATAGAAATTGAAAAACTCTGAAATAGTGCATCGTCACGTTGATTTCAGGAATCTACTGGTTTGATTCGTGCCGTTCAACGTTTTATCCGACGATAAATCCGTGTTGCAACAAACGAGTTTCTTTAATAGCGACAAATTTAACCAGTTTTCAATTAAAACTATAACAATGAGACCGGGTGATAGTATCAATTTATTTCAGGATCTTTCACATACACTTAACGCTCGCTAGGTATTACACAACAAATATAATTCCAACAATTACTGGTATTTATGACAATATATAATTTCACAAAATCCGATAATTTACTAGGGTGTATCGAAAGGTGTGTTATGTTTTACTCGTATAATAAAATAAATAAATATTTTACATCGTTCATTCAGCCTTTGTAATATACTTTTGTATTGCATTTGCATGGGAATCGATGAATCGAACAATAGAAAATGATTTTATTTGAAGGAAAATATTTCGGGAAAATTTGACTACCTTTTGTTCACCTGACAATGGACCTCGATGGTGTCTGACTTTGTGAGTAGAAGATGAATGAACACCTTTTGTTATTCATGATCGGTAACTAGTGCTTCGTGTGTCGCGCTATTCTATTTCTTTTTTATTCATTTTATATACGACGAGACAATTTTTATATTTTACATTCGATTGAAATAAAAATTCGAAATTTTTCCGATCGTTCATCGTTTTATTCTCAAGTGTGCATTTTTTTTGTCAAGCGTGATTGATAAAATGACTACAACCTGAGTTATTTTTTCTAATTTTATATCAACGCGAGATCTGAAATCAGTACTGTTTGCGACATCGATTGATAACCGGGAAAACTTGTATAAACCTTTCAAGGAATATCTTTTATCACACATTTCGAGATGCTTTAAAGTTTCCTTATCGTTTGTGGATCATATCCTACCATATCAGTTCAGACTGATCTTGCACCACAGCGCTCTTAGTGATCGGAATTAAAATCAAAAGTATTGACGGATATTAGGCCGGGCTTTTTTAATTTTGTACAAAGTTGCTCTAAATCTAATAATGTCCTTCTTTGAGACGCCATTTGTTCATACATCGTTTTAGTAAATTCTTTGATTGTTTCATCTTCACTTTCAACATCAGTACTATCCGTCTGCGTTGCAACAGACACACATGAATTTGCAACTGCATCTGTTTGTGTTTCAATGGACTTAAACTTAGATGATTTATTTTCCGGTTGTTCTCCTTTACGCGGAGAAGGACGTTTACTACGGCTACGACGAGGCTTCTTCTCATTTTGACCCCTTGCCCACTTCACGCAGATATGGTTCCGGGTTAATACAACTCCACACTTGTCACAACGTTCTCTCTCGTTATCAAAGTCTGACATTTTTCAGTACTAAAATGAACAAATATTTTAACATATTTACATTTTTATTAATAGCTCCCAGATAGCACACAACGTCTTAAAGACATCCAGGATAAGACGTCGTAAAAACGTCTGAAATTCATGTCTCAAATATGTACGAAACGAACGTTTCGTAACATAGGACAATGTTTATAGGACATATTTCAGGCATGCACAGGACTTATCACGCCTGAAATGGATATCTGTAAGACATCCTCAACATCTCGAATAGATATCCTTAGAATGTTTTAACGATGTTTCTGTGCTATCTGGGTTAGTTAATTTCATTATTCAGAAGATTATATCGAGTTTAAATTTGAGATCAGTTAATTTGTGTTAAGTTCGACCTTGATTTCAATTGATTTGTATTAGGTTTTGGCTACTTTCATTAATCCGGCCAGCAATTTAATGATAGCAATAAATCTCACTAAGAATTCAACTCGATCCCGTTTAATAGAAAAATATAGACTAAAGTTAAAACTAAATGACTTAGAATTACAATATACGTATGGTAACAAAAGTCTTTGTATCTATTCATAACATTGGCTTCTAAATATTCCTTTGTGTTCAAGTGAACACAAATACAATCATGACGGTCGATTCAATAACATCAATGAAGAAGAGAATTACAATCAGTTCACCTTAGTTTACCAACAATAAGTTCACTAACCTAGCAATGAAATTTTTCCGCAGCTATGGTTGCAGATAGATGTAATACACGATTAAAAGTGTTGAATGACTTTATGAGATAAAACTATTACGATTCAGTCCATTACGATCCACTGTGGGCACGTGGTGTTTATTAAAACGGTCACAGCATTCGAGAAGGAACGTAATTCTGTTGACTGTATCAAACACCATCTATGATGCAGAGAATGTACGATTCGATGATTCACAATACTCGGTGGGTAAATCAAACTCACTCGCAGAAAATTATTGCTTATTTCATTTAGTTTCTCGTAAACTATAGAGAAGGATTAAATTAAATTCATAAATTAGAGTCTAATGTTCAGTTATAGGAAAATTATAATGTCAAATTTATAAATGCAGAATGACAAGTGTACTAATACCATGTAAGTATTACTTAGGTATGTATGCGAAATAACAACGTTAATCGCTCTTTCGAGAGTTACTCGTATTAAATTTTTCTCCTCTGGTTTCCCACGATGAAAGAAGCCGCGTAAAACACGGAAAGCTTCCTTGAGGAACTTTATCCCAAGGATATCTATTACAATAGTTTCTCCATGCTTTCGAGATGGATATACGCAAGGTTTCTTCGGCCTATATAATACCTTTTTCCACCCCAACTCGACTTTCGTTACTATCTTCTCCTTTTTGCTTCAGATTTTTATCTTTACTTTCATCAATTTCTTTTCTAAAAAGATCGGATACAAGATCTTGTATGTTGTGCAGTTTAGCAAGATTTTATTTTATGGAAATAATTTTTCTATGATATAATTTCGAGCATTTAAAACTTCAAACGCAATGCTGTTTGAATATCCTGGCTTGATGAATCAAAATATAATTTATGGATATTTGTATGAAATATTATTTTCTGATTCGCTTTGTGTAAATAACATACAGAATATTATGAAACACGAATATGGAAAATTTTCACAGTATTGATTTATTTAAGAGCAATAAGAGTTCATCTTCTATTTTTCGATCCAAGTCCTCAGTTACTAGACTACTGGTACTTACGCATTTATGGAATAAAAAAGGTGGATAAAACGTATGCAAATCTTGAACCGCATGTAAGAGTTTACAATACATGTTGAATATGTAGAATCTGTAGAATATATCGTACAAAATAAACTAAGCACCGTAAAGGGAAAATATTGCATAAAACAAAGGTGGGCATTTAGGTCAAATAAAACAGAGTTGTTCTAAAATATCAGAAAGATTTTATATTATAAAAAATATTGCAAAATAATTTAGCGTTATCGAGAGCTTTCTTCTTCAACGTGAAGATGAAGTACTACATCAACGGACTTGATTGTGTCATTTAGTTTACACTGGTCTTTGTGGATATCGTTTAAAATTTCATAACACAAAAGGACGGCCAGTAATATCGTGAAATTCGAAATACTTCCTTAATTAAATACTGGTGTACTTAGTTTTCACTATATTGGCGTTTCAAGCACGTTTATTGTTATTAAATTTCTCGCCTGCTACTTTGATAGGCTACATTAGAACTCCGTTAGAGCTTTTCTCCTAGAACAAAGGGATTTTGACGAAATTTTAATATCGGTACCTAGAGCAGATAATACCATTAACATTTTATCAGAATGTCAGTAACGGTTCCATTGTCTTTCAATCCCAGGCGTCTGTTTTCGTTTCGAGGGTTTTACTTTTAAATAAATTTAAGCCACTCAGAAGTTAAACTGATTAATTTAATAAAATAAAAAGTAGAGAAATTATTACAGACGTTTTAAGTAAATTTTTCCAAAATAAATAGTTATTATCCTCTTCTAAGTTTACCAATTTCGCAGCGTAAAAGTAAAAGCTATGAAACAAATAACAACCATCGAATTACACTTCCCTACATGATTAAAGCAATTACCCGAAAGGTATAAAACACGCAGGCAACTTTTACACGTGTCGTTCGGAAGAAAACTCAATTATCCTTACCGAGGGCACAATGTATAACTCGTGCTTATCGTCACGCGGTTAAAGGGACCCCCGGGCCCGATTGATTCGCTTCAATTATTCCACGCTGATAAATAGCAACCGATAAGCCCTTCTTGATAAAGATAAAATGTCAGAGAGGATACCATTGATGCCAACCAATGAACGACTATTTTTTTTAGTAACACAATTTCATTTAAAAAAATTTTATTAAACTTTGAACTTTGTTATACGTTAATCGAATCCCTTTTTTTTATATTTTTGCAAAAATATATCAAAGCATTTCTGTTTGTGGTCTTTTCTTCCTACACAAATTGGCACACAACACCTTCCCCCCTTCTCTTTGTAGATATCCGTGTTCGGTCCTTCGGTTCGTCCTACGCAGGCTCACTCGGTTTCCTTCGTTCGTCCTCGCGCGGACGATCGCATCGAAAGGCATTCAGTTCTCAGCGCGCCACGTTAAGAGCAACAAGCGTTTCTGTATTGAACATCCTGTAAATCCGTCGAAACAATCGATAAATTTCACGCGAATATTAACAAGCCATTAAAATTATTAGTTAATAATCGTTTGATTAATCTTCTTCTCGATACCGAAGTAAATAATCAATTACGAATTTTTATTATTAAACAATTGATCAATTGATCCACTGTGAATGGGTCGAGCAAAAAAACAGACTTTATTTTCGTAAATAACTGTATAGACATATTTAACATCGATGAAATTTTTGTGTTGAATTTGATAAGAGCTTGAAACTTCGTTATTTTGATTAAATATCTTGATACGCGTTCGTAGCCACCGAGGATGTTGACGTCCTTCAAGTAGTCCTGGCAGCTGTCGGGAAGCATTCAACTTGTACGCATTTCAACGACCGACGCTGTCAGACGGATGACCCTCCTTTGATTCTTCACTAGTGGCGACATGTAAGTAGTATTTTCTTTCAGATTCTTTTTAATTCCTTTGCGTTATCACATGTTTATTTATAAATTATTAAAATGTATCTGAAATTTAAAGTGATTTCAATTAGTACTTTATGATGCTTTTGATCATTAATTTAAAAATTCATTTACATCGATAAATTGTACATTTCCTCAATCAAGGGTCCTTCAATAATCTCGAATAATTTACAAATTGTACATTGAAACACTTCGCTATCTATATATTAAAACAAGCTCCGACTGCACTCAATTTATTGTGCGTTTCGTCGTAATTAAAAAGTTGACGATAATCCAGTTTTAATGATACCATGCAACATTTTATCGATGTTACACGGTTTCGTTATATATTGTGAACGGGTTAACAAGTTTGTCATTCTTCCAGTTAATTGAGGTCGTGTCAGGTGCAAATGTTTTGGAATTTCTTCTCATAACATGCATACAGTTTGTCCAATTTAACTCGAAATGCTAAAATATCTCAAAACATGTGCAAAACGTGTGAAAAAATTGTACAGTATCGATGAACAGAAACCATATTGTTATCTATTTACCCTTGAAATGGCCCTCAAAAGTCGGAACCAATCGGTCAATTCAAATTTTTATAAGGGATGGAATATCTTATGTTACATGGATTGATTTCTTTTACCATTTCACTCGATCATTTCATTGAAACGCCAATGCATATAACAGTGGTAATATAGCGTTGAATTTCGATGAAAGGAAGAGTTAGTCAACCGAATGGGATAATGTTCCGATAGCAAACCACGTCCGAGGAAAATTTTCACAAGAATCAATATCGCTTATCGAGCGTACTATGTAAATAATCGTAATCGCGAGCTAGAGCATTGCGAAGGACAAATTCAGCTATTACGTACGAAAATGTTTGGAGTCCTTACGATTTTGGCCTTTCGCAAGTTACGAGAGATTATTTAACGCTTTATTTTAAGATTAAATCAGGAAAGGCAGATTCAAAAGAGGCATTGGTAGATATGAATTATAAATCGAACATACTTTTTCATTATCAATTGATCCAATCAACATTGGTTCATTGAATAAACTCTGGAAGAAGATATTGTTATTCGAAATTATACTTGGACTTACAACTTCAATTGCTTTAATTTAAAATTGCGACTTTTATTCGGTTTAAATCGTGTCAATGAAAACTTCAGAATTTTACGCTGAGTGGCAATTTTCTTGCTGAGAATTTTCCATTTAGAAATGATCAAATTACAGATATTATCTTCGCTTGTATTCATTTATTATAGTCAACGTAGTGACAACAATGAAACAAAGTGAAACTTAAATAATTCGAAGATATGCAATTTTAAACAGCGTTGAAGGAAAGTTGAATTAATGTAATGTTACGGTTCGTTAAGCCGGATGATATCGAGCGCACAAAAATGGAAAAATATGTAAAATGGTTGTAATTTATGAAAGGTGAATATTTCTATTTGACATTAAATTTCGTACTTTCTTTCTACCGTGGTAGTTCCGATACGTTTCTCAAAATTATCGAATCATCTTTTGAAGATTTTCTATTTTTTTAATATTCTATTTGACCATACCCTAGAATTGCAATGCATATGTCCAAATGGATTTTTGGAGATGATTATTTTGTAAATTAATAATTTATTATTTCTACTTAGTTTCGTGTTGTTCGCTGTGAGTCAGCCTATTATAATTACAAAATGTTTATTTCTTTCAATTGAATTCAATTACAATCATTTTAACTTATTCTAAGAATACAATACGCAGTATCTAATTTTCCATAATTCATTTCATAGATAGAAGATCTATAAAAAGATAAGAGTAAAAAAAGTTTGATTTCGATCAAAATTAGCAAGTGGTCCCCCACTTTTAAACGGCCCCTTTTAATAACTGCTTTAACAAAAGAACGAAGGTCTGTTATGCAATCAGTTTTTCTGTTCACTCTGACAACATTTCGAGTTTTTTGCGTTACCCATGAATGAACAATAATTTTCTCGATTGACACGCGTCACACACAGTAGGAATTCACGCTGATATTGGAGAACAGTAAGCACTGTAAGCGACATGATAAAAATTGTTCTTTTTCCTCTTATTTTTTCCTTTTTCATTTTTTTTTTTTTTTTTTTTTTTTTTCAATGAATCATCCCCATTAGTCTTTTTACGCGTGAATGCTCGTGCAAAATCTCATGCATAAATATGAGCATTTTTTCCAATCGACGAACAAAATGATTGACTATTGGCGGAGAATAGTATGGGATTCATCGATTTACTTCTTGATTGTCACTAAAAATGATCATGTTCCTATTTTAAAGAAAACGGACACGGAAGTCCATCTATTCGAATATTATTGTAAATAAAACATATTTCGTACTTTCTTTCTACCATGGTAGAAATTTCACAGTTTCTAATAAACATACTCGATAAATTATCATATTTATCGAGAAGTAACAGTTCATAAGAGTTGTTAATTTATGTTTCTACTTGTAATTCGATTCAGCTTGACTCACTGATTCCGTTTAGTCAGTACTCAGGGGCAATTAAAGCATTAAAGTTACGCAGCATATAGAGCAACTTCTAAAATAGAGTTTCTTGGTAATTACGAACAGTAAAGCAAAATCCTGGCGATGGGAATTAGGAAAGTGCACGTGCAACCTACACAGGTTTCTCTGAATGCAGCGAATCAAATGAAAATTTCGTTTAATCAATTTAACTCTCTGAGCGTAATTGAAGGGTTGAACGCAGGAACCAGACAGTTTCATTCTGCTAATTTCACAGGAACTAAAAATAAAACTTTTTAAAATCTGTTTTCTTCAATATATAATTAACCATAAATTTCTATAAAAATAAAGCGTCAAGTATTCCGTGTACAAGAAAGCAACCATATTTGGAAGGTAATAAAAGTTCACGGACGAACTAATTTATGATTACTTGTACTGATGAAAGTACTATTGAAATTTCGTATCATTTGAAGTACTCGAGAACATTTAATTGTAAGTAGTAAGGGACAATAGACCTGAGGTAGTCAGGCAAGTAGTACAAGTCAATGATAAGTAGAATAGGCCGAACGCCCTGGGTGGTCAGACAAGTAGAATAAGCCGGACACCCTGGGCAGTCAGTATTATTTATAAACACTATAATTTTCTTTCTGCAAATGGGCTTATACTGCCTTCAAAATACAAAATAAATAACATTATCGAAAATATTATTATTGAATTTAATTCATTTATTATAGAAATTCATAGTTATACGAACGCTGTCGCTCAAATCGCTAATTACGAACGCATCGTTATGAATTATTATTATTAAGAAGAGTTCGAATAAATACAGAAATCATAGAGAGGTGAAAATGCGTTAATACTGTTAAAATCTTTAACAATCGTTGAGGTGAATGCGTACACGTGGATGTATTTCATTGTGAAGGGTATATACGTTTTCTTCTCAACAAACAACAAATCGATGACCAATCTATTTCGTAGTACGACGCTATTGCCGAAAGCTGCCATTGTCTCCTGCCTGGAGATGATATATCGTACGCGGCCGCTGAAATTCTCTGGATAAACATCGCGCTGGAACTGACACAGCGTAATAGCTCGTCGAGAATATTATGAATCATTAAAGTAGCTAGATTACATTTTAAGTGGCAAGCAGAAGAGATTCACGATCGACTTAAAACAGATTAAACCGTTAACACGGACGTTATTAACGTTGAGGATCGATGAAACTTCAGATCTTTGCGCCTTACTACTGAAAATTAAAACCGGCTACGATAAACATAAATTTGCAGATTTCTTAACAGAATTACTCGGCGTTGCTTGGATATCTCCGATTTAGAATATTTTCTGGATATTAAAAGGATATCAAATTATCTCAATGACTAGTGATAACAAAATTGAAAATGTGATTTATGAAAATATTTGGAAATATCAGAATTAGGAGAAATGTTTAAGGAAATACTTAAGAGTAAAATTTAAAAAATGAAAATAATACAGAATATAAAATAAAATTAAAATTTTCTCAGCAGCTAGATATTCCACAGATAATAGGAGTGCATGGTGTGAATGACGAGTTTAGAGCTGAGTGAATGCGAGTGACTGTTTAGGCCCCAAATTTTAAGGTAAGGTGTAGTAGATGTCGGCGCCGAAAAATCGATAGACGGTGTCGACAGGGGCGAAGCGGGGTGCGATGGGTGCGATGTGTGCGAGTGTGGGTGTCCCTAGCTAGAGGGAAGGATTTTCGGCCTAGGGGCCCAGAATTTTGCGAGCCATCGACAGGGTAACAAGTCCAGAGGTTGAGAAGGCATTATTGCAAATTGCATTGCGAGCGTCGACATCCGGTTATACTAAACAATATAATCCTTATTTTCTATACTATCATTTTTAAAAATGATGGATTATATCATAAAACTGATTGTCCGTGATTTTTCTGATGACATGTGTTGCTTGATTCCCTATTGATTACTGTACGTTTTCATTGAACTCTCTCATGGATTTGGGTACTCGTCGGTCCACTCGTTAGGATTCCTGGAATCATAGGTGGTAAATTCCAACGATCGATCGTAACTATTCTTAATGTGGTGTAAAAGGCTAATGGTTTAGGATGGTGCTCCGTGAAGCTTGTGATACGGCGAACACAATTGCTACTTCACGAATGAGTTTAATAATTAGTGAAACACAGAAAGTCCTGACTTTTATTTGATTTCACAGGATCACGATAGATGTTAATTAGTAAAAGTATCGTATTTTTAAACTTGAAAGTACATTTTTTAATATATCATATGCTTACGCTATTCCATCACAGTGTTGTTGAAAAAATAAAATAACATTTAATGATATATGTTAATATTAAGAAACATTAGGAGTTATATGAAAGCCTGTGAAATAGCCCGTATTTGCATCGAAACGCAATCTATATTGAAACTGTCAAGCTTTGATATCAACGGCATTAAGTGTCAGTTGCAACTCTAATCGCATTGGTAGGTCAGCTGCAACTGTAAGATAGCT